GGGATAGATAGAAAGGAAGAGTTGGTGGTTTTCTTTTGCTTTCTCTCTTTGGTGGTGGAGGAAGTGAGTTTACACAGAATGGGACCTGAGGGGAGGCTGTAGTCACTCAAACCATGCTCTCCCTCACCTTCCTCTCACTTCCTTCTCCTCTTTGAGCTCCTTCCTCCTCCAATTTCTCAGTTCTGGAACTTTCCATCAGCTGATGCATGAGCCTCAGAGCAGTGGAGGCTGCACTGAGAGGCAATGTTGCTGCTGCAGCTCACACTTGTCTTGTAAGAGGCTTAGACATCACGTTGCCTGTCACCCAGACACAGTGGGAGGGCTGCTCATATCACCAGCTCCATCCACTAAGGTATTCCAGTGCCTTCCTTTCCTCCGTATAAGTTCTTCTTCTCCCGAATGTGAAACGTTTCACTGCATTTAAAATTAAAGTTGTGTTGGGCCGGCCCCGTGGCGCACTCAGGAGAGTGCAGCGCTTGGGAGCACAGCGGCGCTCCCACCACGGGTTCAAATCCTATATAAGGATGGCCGGTGCGCTCACTGGCTGAGAGCGGTGTGGGTGACACCACGCCAAGGGTTGCAATCCCCTTACCGGTCACAAAAAGGACAAAAAAAAAAAATTAAAGTTGTGGTACTTGTCCTAACCTCTGAATTACCCCATTACAATCTTTGTGACTTCTTCCATAGGTATGTTCTTTTGTTCATACTGTACATGCAAAGATTTTATTGATAAAGATCTTGTGCTTTTCTTGTTTAAAAAGTTAAGTTTCTTTGATAAAGTGATTGTTTGGATTGGTTCTATTTAAGCACATTGTAATATTTGAGATAGTTACTTCCTTGTATCTCAGAAAACATTGGCATTAACAGTATTAGTAAAATTATTGGAATGAAACCATTTGAACCTTCTGTTTTTCTTTTATACTTATCTGATCTCCATGCTAGGTTTATAGATATGAAAGAAAAAGGACATTACAGTACATAAAAACTCCCAACATGGCTCAGTTGGTTAGAGCACAGCCTTGTAACACCTAGGTCAAGGGTTCAGATCCCCAGCCACACACACACACACACAAAAAAATCCCAGTATAGTAATGACAACAGTAACATTGATACTAACTAGCATATACTAAGCTCTTACTGTGCTCCAAAAACACTGCTAAGTCTTTTAAACATTTAATCCTCTCATTTAATCCTCACCACAACCCTAAGAAAAAAGTACTATCCCCGTTTTTTCAATAAGGAAGCTGGATTTCAGAGAGGTTAAATATTTTGTTACTGCGACACAAAAGGAATCTGACCAGGGTTGAATGACTCTCCTTTAACATGATAACAAATTAAGTCAGTCTGTTCAGATCAAAACAGGAAATCAACTACAGCTGAGAAAGCAAAGGTATGAGAAAGAAAACTATCAAAACAAAGCCTGTGGATCAATGACCTAAACATGAGCTAAAACCATAAAGCTCTTGGAAGAAAGGGGCAAAACTTCATGACCTTGGCTTTGACAGTTGGTTCTCAGATATAACACCAAAAGCATGAACAAACAAATTAAAAATGGATAAATTGGACTTCATCAAAATTAGGAACTTTTGTGTCTATTAGGATCAGATCATCTTTGATTCTGTCTTCCTCACTCCTGCAACCAACCAGCTCCCAAGTTTTCATTTTGTTTTGCTTTATTTTGTCCTTATCAATGCTAGCTTCCAGATATGTGTTGGGTTTCCTTTCTCTTTTCCAACCCTACGGTCACAGTCTTAGTGGAGGGCTTCATCCTTGGTCTCTCTCCTGGACTATAATAATAACTTTTTGCCTGGTCCATCTGCCTCTTTAATATCCCTCTGCAGAGAGTCATCTATCCTTCCACAATTTGTCTCCAGAACAAACACCATTATTTTCTTACATTACATGTGTGATCATGCTACTTTCTTCCTTTCAAACATTCCTTCATGCCCTTAAGGATAAAGTCCAAACTCCCTGGCATACAAGGCTGGCTCTCCACAACTTGATCCCAACCTGCTTCCAGCCACTCCCTGCCTGCCCCCCATCCCAGCCACACTGCCTGCTCTCTCTACTCCACTCGCACTCTTCTCTTCCCACATCCTCTTCCTAGAATGCCCTTTCTCAAAAGAACTACTAGTTATCCTCCAAATCCAGCTAAAATGCCACCTCCTATATGGATCATTCCTCATTTCCCATAGGAAAGATTCCCTTCCTGCACCCTTCGCTTTGGTAGCATTGCATATTTTAAGCATGTGCCACATTGTTTTAAAGAGTATTTACCTCCGTATCTCCTCCCCTAGAGAATAACCTTCTAAAGGCAGAAACTGGGGATTGGATCCTACCGGGCCATTTTTTTGCTAATTACAATTTAGATGAACAAGACAAGAGAAGACCTCTTTGTCCCTATCCAAAAGTGAATGCTCAAGGGAGTTAAATTCATTTAAATTGTTCATAATTTCTAATGCTCTTTGAATTACTAAAAATAAACAGAAATATAAAATACAAAATCTAGGAAATGCTTTTATTTTTAAAGAAAGACATTATTTTTTAGAGCAGTTTTAGGTTAATAACAAAATTGAGAGTGAGGTACAGAAGATTCCCATGTACCCTCTGCCCCCACACGTGCATATTCCTCCCCATTACCAACATCCCCCACCAGAGTGGGACATTTGTTACAACTGATGAACCTACCTTGACACCTCATTATCACCCACAGTCCATAGTATACATTAGGTTTCACTCTTACTGTTGCACAATTTACAGGTTTGGACAAATGTATAATGACATGTATCCACCATTATAGTATCATACAGAGTAGTTTCATTGCCCTAAAAATCCTCTGTTCTCTGCCTATTCATCCCCCACCCACTCCCTGCAACTACTGATATTTTTACTGTCTCCATAATTTTTCCTTTTCCAGAATGTCATATAGTTGAAATCGTACACTTTGTAGACTTTCAGATTGACTTCTTTCACTTAGTAATACACATTTAAGGTTACTCCATGTCTTTTCATGGTTTCATAGCTCATTTTTTTTTTTTAGCATTGAATAAAATTCCATTGTCTGGATGTCCCACAATTTTTTTATTTAACCACCTACTGAAGAACATCTTGGTTGCTTTCAAATTTTGTCAATTATGAATAAGGCTTCTATAAACCTCCATACGCAGGTTTTTGTGTAGACATAAGTTTTTATCTCCTTTGGGTAGATATCAAGGAGTGTGACTGCTGGATCGTCTGGTAAGAGTATGTTTCGTTTTGTAATAGACCACCAAACTGTCCTCCAAAGTGGCTGGAACATTTTGCATCCCTACAGCACTTCTGCATTTGGTGGTGTTAGTATTCTGGATTTTGGCCATTCTAATTGGTGTGTAGTGGTACCTCATTATTGTTTTAATTTGCATATCCCTGATGACATATAATATGGAGCATCTTTTTGTATGTTCATTTGCCATCTGTATGCCTTCCTTGGTGAGGTGTCTGTTAAGGTCGTTGGACCATTTTTTAATTGGGTTGTTCGTGTTCTTATTGTTGAGTTTTAAGAATTCTTTGTATATTTTGGATAACAGTCCTTTATCAGATGTGTCTTTGCAAATATTTTCTCTCAGTCTGTGGCTTGTCTTCTTAATCTCTTGATGGAATGCCTTTGATTTTAATTCAATGCAAATATCACTGAAAATCTTTTATAACTTTGTTTTTAGCTGATCCAAGTAAAGTCCATAAATATTTATTTATTCCACAAAATTTATTGTGCACCTATTATATACCAGACACAGACTAAAGATACCAAGTACTCAAGTATAGTTGAACCGTGAACACACAGAATCAAAGCGTCTCTGTAAACAGAGCAAATTTAATGAATTGGTCTTGAAATTTTACCTTTTCTGACACACAGTGCCCAATCACCTGGTAATTTAGGAGATATCTAAATAATCCTAAATTCAGCTCCACTGTATTTGGTGTGTTTCCCATGATGGAGTAGAGTCAAAAGCCATGGTGCTCTCCCAAGAAACATACAATGAAATAATGGAGATAGACCTATTACAAAATGAATAGCCAGTGTGGTGCAATAGAAAAAGTACTAGCCTGGAAGTTATGACTATTAATAACTAGCTATGTGACCCTGGGGAAATAAACTAATCTGTCATCTTGGCCTCAGTTTCATCTTTGGTTAAAATGAAGTAGTTGGACTAGAATCTGTAGATAGCGGGTCGTTATTGCTATATGTGGGATAACCATCATGTGTACTGAGGATCAACACAACTCTACCTATATAGATGGGTAGCAGCCAGAGTCAGACTGATTGGAAGAAAATTGGACAGAGTGATTTCCAAGTTGAAGGTCTAGCTTTGGAGAAACCTGTTACTATAGAATGTGAAGCAGGATAGTAGAGCAGATGTACAGTCAAGCCCATGCTTAGAGATTTTTGTTTGGTATTTTTTCATGTAGTTAAAGAGGAATTAGGAGCAGTGTTGACCATTTAAAAAATAAGCCTGATTAAAAGGAGACTTAAAGAAGGTAATTTCACTGTTCCACTGAGGTCCCTGGAAGGTGTAGGGGCAGAGCACAGCTCCAATTGGCAATGTGCTCTTTCTTGACTTTGGTGACTATTACAGTATTTACTTAATAATTGTTTGTATGTTTTGTGCACTTTTTCATACATTTCAATTTTTAAAACAAAATCCTTTTAAGATATATGATACAGTAACATCCTGAGTCATGCTCCCAAAAATTTTTAATTGATTCTGCCAAACAAAGCAAGTTTTCCATTAATTTAATTTATACAGCAGACAGAAAAAAAAAATCTTTGAAAGACAAATACATTGTGTGCTTCCTGCCAATAAGGACATAATACTTCCTCATTGTCATTAATGAAAAATAACACACACTTTCAAAGTTCTGTAGACACTAAAAAGAAAGAAAACACTCCAGTGAGTCACGTATTTCCACATTCAGGGCTGGGAAGTTATATAAATTTCTCCAGCCTCTAGCAGAAAATGCCAAACCAACCGTAGAGCTGAGAACAATCATCTCTGCTGGCAGCTATGTGGCTCGCCCTGCTGTGCTCTGTGAGCTTGCTACCTGGCGGCCTGGCCCTGCCGCTGCCCCGGGAGGCGGGGGGCATGAGTAAGCTACAGTGGCAAAAGGCTCAGGTATGTCACAGCCCTTTCACTCTGGGCTCCATGGTCTTGCCATTAGCATTAGGAAGTGTGGTTTTCAACTCTTTCTCCTTCCATGTTGGTATTGCAATGAATTTTCTTTTTGGTAATTTTTCTGATTATAAAGTCAATATGCCTTTTCAATGAGTAGCCACTAAGAACAGGCTTTAGAGCCTGCTTAAACCAACTCCTCCCTTTTCTACATGGGTAAATTTAGGAATGCCATTAAACTTCTCTGAGCTTGTCTCTAATTCAGAAGTTAGAGATAATAATATCAACCTTTTGGGGGTGCTGTAAAGCACAGTACCTGAAACATTGTTCATACTCAATAAATTTAAGTTGTTATTATTATTTATTGTAACATCAGATTCGTTTTCATGAAATGCACAGAATGTTACCTCTTAAGATGAAGACTACTTGTAATGGAGAGATTTGAAGTCAGAAAACCTGGGTAGAAGCTACAGCTTTGCCACAAGCCAATGACAATAGGCAAGACATTAACTTCTGATTTTGTTTTCTCATGTGTCCAATGCAAATAATAATATTATATGTCTTGTACCTCACTGGGTATTCTAGTGTATAAATGAGGTGATCACAATACTAACTAGCATGTATGTAACAGTTACAGATTATAAAGTACTTTCATATACATTATGTCATTTAATCCTTGGCTCTATCATGGGAAAAAGAAGAAACCAAAGTTAAGCTGATTCACATACTTGTTATTGGTAGAGATAGGAATCAAAGACAAGTTTTTTGGTTTTTGGGTTTTTTTTGCTCGAAAATCATGTTCTTTCCAATATACTACTTAATAAGCAGTCTAATAAATATAAATAATTATTATTTGGTATAATAATGGGGTAATTGCTCATAAGTATTGTTTATAAATTCAAGCTTTCAGCATTAGAAAAGTCAAGTTTTATTTCACATTAACTTGGACTTCTAAAAAGTTCCAATAATATGTCAGATTGAGCCATATGAAATTATTAATATTTAGCTGGTTTTTTAACACCAAAACAGAAATTTTATACGGTTCCACCTAATGGGCTCTCTAGAAGGAGTACACCTGCAGGAGAATTTAGTCCCATTACTTAGCGTGCAATGTTGTCAATAAACTAGAAGGTTAGCTAGGTTTAACGGCAGGCAGGAAAAGTTATGTCAAGAACGCGGAGAGATTTCTTCTAGAGGGTGTCTTTGCAAAGTCTGTTGCTCTGGAAGGGACAAAATAGATTATGTGCTTTTAAATAAGGGATTAATCCCTAACTGTCTTGGATGAACAATTAAGTATCTGTTGTATTGAATGAAGCACAATCATTGGTAACAGGAAGAGAGGACACAATATTAATAAGCTTACTTACATGAAGTGCATACTCCTAAGAGGTTCTGAGACAAATAACCACTCCATCTACTCGAAAATAGATTGCAAATAAGTGAGCCAATGTTTACATCATTTCAACAACAATACCATCATGCATTATACAACCCTATAAATTTTTCAAATGTGTGGAAATCAGAACACTTGAGTGATTTCACTTCTCAGAGCCACACTTCTTTATATATAAAGTATGGATAACAATGCCATACCTGCTTCATAGGATGGCTATAAGATTTCAATGAGATATGTATGCAAGTACCTGGCACTATTAAATGCTTTAAAAATGTTCTTGTGAGGTTTGCTACTGTTGTTAATTCATTCCTTTTTTTTTTTTTTTGTATTTAGTCTTCGGGATTCTCATTCTCATATCCAGACACTAGAAACCTTTAAGAAATTCTCAGGGACCCAGTTGTGCATAGAATAGACCTGGGATACTTGCTTTATACTGAAGCCTAGTAAAAAGTGGGTTTTACTTGGGATTTAACAGTGGAAAGAAGAATTGGAAGGGGAGAGAGCAGAACAAAAAAAGAAGGCACTGGGAGTCAGGAAACTCAGGTCCAGTTCTGCTACTAATTTAATGTGTGCACTTGGGCAAAGCATTTCGTTGCCATGAGGTTTGGTTTCCTCACCAGGACAATTAGATTAAACTAAGTAAGTTAATAATCTCCTAATATTCTTTCTCAGAACTAAAATTTTAAGACTCTTTAACCTTTAACTGGGACCAGATCTCAGCAGGATCTTAGATGGAGCTGGTTGACATCAGATCTTCTCAACAGCGTCTAGCCAAGGGAAGTCTCAGTTGTGCCCCTTGAGGGCACACTGGGACACTCTTCCTGGTTGCTCTTAACAAACAATTCGAGACTTTATAAAGTGTATAGTGTGTTTCTCCTCAAAACATTTAATATGATAAAAGATAAATTGAGGGATTCTTCTCTTCTGCTCATGTAATGACATGCAAGTGCTTCATTATCAACATTAAATTTTCTCACTCATGCACACTTTATTTTACTCAGTGCCTACATAATTATTCTTCAAATCACTATTTAAATCCACAGGAAACAAAGGAAAAGATGTGCAGACTTCTGAGATGAAATAATACAATAAACAAGAACTACAGATTAATTGCTCTCTTTTCAATAGGACTATCTCAAAAGATTTTATTCTCGTGACTCAGAAACAAAAATTGCCAACAGTTTAGAAGCCAAACTCAAGGAGATGCAAAAGTTCTTCAGCCTGCCTATAACTGGAATATTAAATGCCCACGTCATAGAAATAATGCAGAAGCCCAGGTGTGGAGTGCCAGATGTTGCAGAATACTCACTATTCCCAGATAACCCAAAATGGACTTCCAGTGTAGTCACCTACAGGTTAGTTGTGCTTTGGCTCATTTTGACAAGAACAATAAAGCCCTTTTCCTAAGAGTTCAAATCTTGTTTTCTTGTTTGCTACCAGGATCGTATCATATACTCCAGACTTATCACCATTCACAGTGGATGAATTAGTGGCAAAGGCTTTAGACTTGTGGAGCAGAGAGATCCCCCTGCGTTTCAAGAGAATTAGGTGGGGAATTGCTGATATCATGATTGGCTTTGCAAGAGGCGGTAAGGAAGATTCCTGTAGACTGATCATGTGTGCTATTTTATTTTTTTATTGTTTATATCAGTGCTCTCCTCAGGATTTAAAACCTTTAATGATAGACAGACAGACAGATGATAGGTAGGTAGATAGAGAGATATATATTATATACATCATATATTGTAAAAAATTGTAACAATGTTGTTAAATATATATATATATCTTATATATATTTAGTATTTAGCAATATTATTACAATTCTTCTAATCTGTTATTTTAGAGCCACTTTTACAGCAAGAGTTGGCAAACTATAACCCATGAGTCGAATCCAGCCTATCATTTGTTTTTGTAAATAAAGCTTTATTGGGACATAGCCATGCTCCTTCATTTAGCTATTGTGTATGACTGCTTCTGTGTGGGTTACAATTGTGACAGAGACCATCAAGTCCACAAAGCTTAAATTACTTGTCATCTAACTCTTACAGAAAAAGCCAACCTCTGTTCTGTAGCACGAATCATTATGTATGTGTGTGCATAAGTGTATAGGTTTAAAATATATCTAACATCAACGGTAAACCAACAGAAAGGATTACAGTTTCCAAAGGCCTCAAGTGGCCCCCAAGAAGTGGGGCAGCCCCTATGACTTGTGGTCAATGCCCTTTATGCAGCAAAAAAGTAGAAAATGGATACTTTCATATTAAAAGGTTTAAATGAATATGTATATAACCCACATACATGCTCTTAATTGCTAGTGTTTCATGGTGCAAATTTAGAGGAAAATGTTGCCCGTTTTGGTCTGTTCTAATGTTGAACTGACTGCGTACTGTGAAGTTAGCTGAAAAAAAAATTTTTTTGGCAGCTGGCTGGCACAGGCAACCAAACTCTTGACCTTGGTTTTACAAGGCAATGCTCTAACCAACTGAGCTAGCCAGCCAGCCCCAGCAAAATATGACTTCAACCCACAATATTGACAACACTGAAGAAAATGTTATGGAAAGCATTAATCATGGCACTGCAAATTTTTAAAGAACTGAATAAATACAGCCTGATACCAATTTGAAGATACATAGGTCTGCATCACAAATAAAAGGACTACAGAAATCCATTTTAAGAGGCCTTGAGCATGGTTCTCCAAGAGATTGCCTACTAAGCTCACAAACAATAAGTTAGATTTTTAAGAAAAAACATATATGAGATGGTACACAAATTACTTGAATGCAGTACTCACACCCATTCTCCCGCCCACCATCATTTGGCTAAGCAAAGTGATCAAATTTATCAAAAGCTTAAATGCAACCATAAGTTAGACTTAAAAGTTGGTAAAGTCCCATATCCTGCAAACTTTCAACAGACAGTGGTTACCAGTGATGAGCAGTGGTTCTGCAAAAGAAAAAGTGCCTGTGTCTAATAAGCACCCAAACCACCCTGTGTATACAACTTACCACTTTTACCAACAATGCCAATTGCTTGGACTGGACTGCTCTTACTAATATATTCTCAATAATCATATAAACTGAAAAGATGAAATGACTGGAGAAAAGTTCAGTCACTAAGGGCAATTACCCCTCTTTCTTTCAGCTCATGGAGACGGCTACCCATTTGATGGACCAGGAAACACGCTGGCTCATGCCTTTTCACCTGGGCCAGGCTTAGGAGGAGATGCTCACTTTGATGAGGATGAACGCTGGACTGATGGCAGCAGTTTAGGTATAGCTTCCCAGTCTCTTCTACTACACATCCTTTTCAAAATCCCAAACTCATACTACCTTTAATTTGATAATTGCTTTAATTTATAATAATTATTGAGCCCTTGCTGAGTGCCAACCACTGTACTATAGGCTTTAAATTCATTATCTCATTCTCAGCCTCTGAAGTCAAGCAACACTGGGTTCAGTTTCCTATTCCTCTACTAATAACTTGCTGCGTGTCCTTGGGCAAGTTATTTAACTTCTCTGAGCCTTGGTTTCCACATCTATGAAATGGGAATATAAACAGTTCCCACCTCAAGGGTTATTATTTAAATTAAACGAGATCATGCTTATAAAGTACTTGGCATCATGCTTGGAATATATTAATAATCCAATAAATTACAGGTCTTTCTTCATATTTCCCAAAAACTATGCACCTCAAATGGAGGAGAAAGAGAAGCAGAGATTAGGATATTTAAGAATTATATATGATTCTGGAATTTTTCACTATTGTTCTGAATGAATCAGCTCCATAACCTGGCCCATCATATTTGTCACTTTACAAAGTAGGAGATTCTAGACACCTCAGTGAACTAATGGAGAGGAGGTCTTATTAGGTTCTGCCAGACGGAGAAAAGGGGGAGAGAGACCTGAGCCAGGTGCCATTTCAGCCAAGAAGCTTTATTCCACCAGCGTGGTGGGGAGACTGAGTCAGATCAGCTCCTGCCCTGTACAGACTAAAAAGGTTTTTATAAGGTTTGAATTAGAGGAAGGGCATTGGGTGGTCATCTTTGCAAAAAAATCCCGAATGTGAAACATTTCACTGCATTTAAAATTAAAGTTGTGTTGGAAAGCAAGGGGATAGGGGGTGGAAAGTTGATTAATATGGTTGTGCTGATGCTGGCCATGAAACCTAATAGCTCTGACATAAATAATCCGAACTGGAGACAATTCTAAAATAAAAAAAAAAAAATGGTAAATGGCTACAAGTTTGTCCTGAAAGAAAAATTAGTACCTGTATTTGGCAAAGGGAATTTACCACAGTCCCAACAAGTAGTGATGCCTTGCTGTGAAAACCTAACGTGTGTGAAACTGCTATGCTGCCTCCCTTTTGCATCTTGTATATCTTTTTCATTCTCCTTTCTTCCTGCTCAAGGTAAATTAAAGGCAGCTTCCTTCAATCTAATGCACAGTTGGAGATCTGGCCACTCTTCCAATTCACAGGTTCACACTTTTCCCCTTACTTGCAAAGCCTTTCTGTGAGTCTGAGAGGGAAAAAAGGATATAGGTAATACAATTTAATAAATCGAAATCAAAAATAAAGCTTCAAAATCAAAAACAAAGCTCAGCATTGCCTGGAGATCCTGCCTTCCAGTCTTGGCTTTCTCAAACCAACTTTCTGTCTCCTGATATTCAAAGTTGCTATCATTTATTGCACAGCCATTATTTTCCAGATATTGGGAAACTCTAAATATCATGACAAATCTACAAGGTAGGAATTATTATCTCTGTTTAACAGCTGAAGAATGGGGACTCAGCCACATCAATTAATTTGTCCAGAGTCGTCCAGCTAGTAAGTAGTGGAACTATGTTTCAAACCCGGACCTTAATTCTTTTAAAGCCTTTGCTTTCCACTATAGAATTTTGCTGCCTGAGTGATTATGTAAGAAGCAAATAGGCAGAAAAACATTACACTTTTTTTTTTTTTTTTTTGTCCTTTTTGAGACTGGCCGCACCGCACTCAGCCAGTGAGTGCTGTGAGTGCACCGGTCATCCCTATATAGGATCCGAACCCGCAGCGGGAGCACTGGTGCGCTCCCAGCGCTGCACTCTCCCGAGTGCGCCATGGGCTCGGCCCAACATTACACTTTTAAAAGAAGCAGAAATGGTGATGAGATTAAGGCACTACTCTTCTGATTCTACTTTGTCCACACCAAAGGAAAACTTCACCCCTAAAGGCTCATTAGTAAAAATCACTGACAAATTTAGATCAATAGAAAGAAAAAGTATAACAAATTTTATTATTTAATGTGCTGGGAGAAGACAAAGCACCAGGGAATCACAAGAGAGTAATGTCCCAAATTCCAATGCGAGTAACAAAGCTTATATACCAGTGTTCATGAGAGATAGAAGGTAGAGCAAGAAAGTTCCAGATCAATGGCCTAAGACCAGGTTTCTCTGAAGTTGAGCAGGTAAGTGTTGTCAGGGGTCAAAGAAGGAAGTCAGAAGTTAAAGTTAATGGGCCGGCCCGGTGGCGCACTGGATAGTGCGCCGCTTGGGAAGCGCGGCGGCGCTCCCGCCCAAGGGTTCGGATCCCGCATACAGACCGGTTCCCGCTCACTGGCTGAGCGAGGCGCGGGAGCAACGCCGAAGGTTGCAATCCCGTTGCCGGTCCCCGGTCCAGTACGGGGGCAACACTGAGGGTTGCAATCCCTTGCCAGACACGGAAAAAGACAAAAAAAATAAATAAATAAAAGAAGTTAAAGTTAAGTAGAGACACCTAGAATGCAAATGAAAATATTTCAGGTAGTCTCACAGCTGCTCAGAAACAATACATAGTAGCCCAAGGAGCTGGTGCCTTAGAAGAAGCCCGGATGTTTGCACGTACAGACTTAAATTTCTTTTCAAAAAGAAATAGCCTTCTAGCTAATCTTGTTTTTCCAGTCAACTTGTGTTAGCCATCTAGAAATATGTAAAAGAAATATAATTTGGGGCTGAAATAATTTGCTTTCCCATACCTTCTAATCCCTCCCCACTTTCGAAGGCTTTAGAAACAAATAAGTAAACTACAGAGGCTTGAGAGTTGTGTATTTGTATAGTTAATTTTTTTATTACTATCTAATATATAATGTTACATTATTTATTCAGCTATTTTATAGTTACTGTATGTCACTTCTTTGATTGTAGGAATTAACTTCCTGTTTGCTGCAACTCATGAAATTGGCCATTCTTTGGGTCTGGGGCATTCCTCTAATCCTCATGCTGTGATGTATCCAACCTACGAAAATAGAGATACCACAAATTTTAAACTTTCCCAGGACGATATTGAAGGCATTCAGAAACTATACGGTAATGTTCATGATTTCAAGTAAGGGGGCTTCACATGACTTATATCTATCCAAAAACCTATTGAGTAGAGAAATATGAGACCTTAAATACTCCGAACTTAACCAAGCTATTTTATACTATCAGGATGCTGATTTTAAGTTCTAGTAATACAGTATCATGCAGTGAAATTATGAAAATGACACTGTCAAGGGTTTTTTCAAGCTGCCACTCATTGTTCTTGCTTGTTCAGTTCAAATACTCTAGCAGAGTCTCCTCCAAGGAACATAACACCTTCCTCCATGCGCCCACTAACAAGGATTCAGCCCTAGGTGATTAAAAGTGACCCAATTTCTTCTGCTTACATATCCATGCACAGAAAGTAGTTAACCATAGATAGCAACTGCTTGTAATTGTTTATAATTGGTCATGAAGCTTATGAATAGTCCATGTTCCAATCTATACTTTTTTGTTTTAATGATGTTCAAGTTCAGTTTTTAAAAAAATATGCTGATTTGAATTTGCTTGATCAAGTCAGTCAAAAATAGTATTTGAGAAAGAAATCAAAGGGCCAGGATAAAAAAGCATGTCTCTAGATGAAAGTGAGAAGAGTAAGTTTCAAAGAGGCTAATTGAATTTTCCAAGGTCATGTGGCTGCCAAGTGTTGAACAATGATTCCAAATCAGGGCCGAGTGACTACATACTCTTTCTACTACATATCCCTGCCTATCACTACCTAGTATGCTTTTAAAAGCAATTTGGATAAGAGAATACAGAATAACATCTTTAAGTGAGCAGATATCATTAAACCTATCCAGCAAAATATGAGGATCATAAGAACACACTGCAAAAAGATCACGTAAGAGTCTCTGAATAATGAAAAGAGCCATAAAAGTGCTTTCACATAACAGAGCACTGTTCTTAGGGGGAAATTACTCCTGTAGGATAATGAATCAGTTGAACCTAGAATTTATTATAAATCAGCATTTTCCAAAGTGTGTTCCCAAATACTAGTATTACAAGACAATTTCCAAAAAAGGATACTATTGAGAAATAAGTTCAAAAAATACTACTACTATTCAAGTGTATAGGATATTAAAGAGTACTGAACAAACATTGTTTAACTTGATGTTTACTAAATTATAATCCTTTTTATGGAAAACCCTTTGAAATCCCATGAAATAGTACTTCAGAGGAAAAAGTTTGGAAAATGCTATGTAGGGAGATACTGATGTCCAAAAGACTCACAAAATACTGACAATTGTTGGCAAAGTTATTGCCAACAAACAGAAGATACACCCTTCCCCTATATAAAATTATGGAACTCATAGAATACTCTATGGCATTCTATAACTATCTTATAAACTTAAGAAATATACAAGGGGACTAAAGAATATTCTGAGGCAGACTGATTAAATCGAACAGGAAGAAAACAGACTGGTGCACGAACCCCTCAAGTATTAGACCAAGAGATGCCCCTAGTCAAAGTTGGAAAGTATCTTCTGGACAAATGAAAGTAGAATTTAATTATGTAAGTTGTAAATTTAAGGAGTTCATTTATCCAAAAAGTAACTATGAACAGAAAGTATAGATTCAAAAAAATGTGATTTAACTCATGGATGCAAGATTCCTAATGCTCTTTTCAGAATAATAAAAATAATAGCTAAAATGCATGGAGTACTTACAATGTACCAAGTCCAAGCACTTCATATGAATTAACTCATTTAATACAACAATCCAATGAAATGCTATTATCCCCAATTTACAGGTTGGTAATCTAATGCTAAAACAGGTTAAATGGTAATTTACCTAATGTCACACAGCTAGTAAAATTGTAGAGTCAGGATGTGAAGATATCTGAACTCCAGGACTCACATTCTGTACAATATTGCCTTAGCCTTTAGAGGTTGTTCAAGAATCTTTGCCCCAAATACAGAATACTGGGCTAGGTGAACAATAGATTGTACATACCATGATTTTTCCTGTGTTTGTATAGTCTTAGGATGGTTTTTATGCACTTTATACCATGTCAGAATGTTCTTATTTTCTTTCTTAACAGGAAAGAGAAATAATTCAAGAAAGCACTAGAAACTCAGGGAAAACATCCGCTCATTTATCGGATTCTACATCGTTTCCCAACCAGAATTAATAAATACAGTTCTTTTGCTCCATTTAGCACTGACTTTATGCTTCCTTGTATTGCAGTTGTTTTTGTTTCTCTCTCTTCCTCTGAGGATAAACTCCTTTATTGCATGACTATGACTCTCTTCAGGCAACTTGCAATTGGTAGATGTCAATAAATGTTATATACACAAATAAATAAAATTTTTATTCCATGGTGAAATTATTTATATTTGGGAGCACTGTTTCTATAGCTAGAAAAGACATGCTGTATAATGAAATCAAAGACTTAGACAGGAAAAAAAATCCCACCACATTATTTTGGGGTCCTCAGCTGCATTATTTTGGGGTCCTTCCCTGGGGAAGGAGGGAGCTCAACCTCTTTATTATTCATGAGTGTAGCTCAAAGTTACATTTATACTTCCCCTTATCCTTTTGACCCAAGCTCTCATTCTGAGACTTCTGGGAAGTTCAATTCATCCCACAAAATGTCTGTGAATTCCCAAGGATTTACATTCTCCAGCTCCAAGTTTCTAACCCTAATCTCCTAATTTCCCTGCATCTCTCCTGCTGCAGCTGCTCTCTGGGTTCCCTTTCCTCTGCCCCATACCAACCCAGATATTGGTCTCACCCTCTTCTCTTAAACTTTCTCAAAACCAGATTTGCTTCAACAGTGGGATTTTGTACTGCACAAGGGCAATAAAATTGAACAAAACTAAAATAGGATATTATCCCCATCCTACAAATCCTTTACCTACCCCAGCATCAGGAATTTCTCCTGCCACCTACTTCTACAGGCTGCAGCCTCCTACCACATCTTTCCTCAATCCTCTGGTCTTGAGACTCGACTTCTGACTTCCCCAGAAACATATTTTCTATGACCTGCAGCTCAGGCCCTCCACAGAGACTAGCTGATGTGTTTCTCTGGGTGAAGCCCTCTCTATGCAGTGCTTAATCCTTTAGCAGGACACAATGCTGACAAAGCCGTTGCCATTTCAGCCTTTCCTTTCTTACTATTCCTCCACACTTCCCACACCCCACATGGTTTTCTCTATAAAACAGAGGAAAGAACAATTGAAATTTATAGTCTAAGTCTGTTTTGTGCTGCTACAACAGAATACCACAGACTGGGTAATTTATAAAGAACAGAGCCTTATTTCTTACAGTTCTAGAAGCTGGGAAGTCCAAGGCTGAGGGGCCCACATCTGGTAAAGGCCTTCTTGCTACATCATCCTGTGGCAGAAGGCAAAAGGGCAAGAGAGCCCGGGAGAAAGAGAGAGAGAGAGAGAGGGGGCAGAACTCATTCTTTTACCAGGAACCCATTCCCATGATGACTACATTAATCCATTTCTCAGGGCAGAGCACTCATGACTTAATCACCCCTTAAAGATCCCACCTCTCAACACTGTTGCATGGGGGATTAAGATTCCAACACACAAACTTGGGGGGACACATTCAAACCACAGCATTTTCTTATGGATATAAATTATGTCCCCCATACATGCCCTAAAAAGATGCATTAATTTTTTAAATTTTCACTTAAAGGTTTGTTTTTACCCAAAATAGATCAATATCCCAAAACTCAGAACTACCACCACAGTCATTAGGAAGCCATTCCAGGAATAGATCGAATGACAGGAAAATCCACAATACAGGCAAAATATGAAGTATATATGAACTGGAGTTCAAAGACGGTTTTAAAACTTAAGGGAGTATGTCTATAATGTTAGAATGAAAAGGAAGTTAGAAGTGATTGAATTCAAGTTCGTTATTTTGTAGATTTCCGTAACGTTCACAATAAGCAAACGTAGTCGTGATTTAAGAACATTTTTGTTTGTTTACCTGTTTGTATTTTGGTTTGGGCAGCAGGAGGCAGTATTTATCTTGCAGCTGAAGTGAATACCTGTCCCTCTTACCTGCCCTACTTTTACCTTCACCCTACTTTTGGGGACAGGGAACTGCCGCTTCCCCTTTGTGTACAATCTTCATATGGGACATCACTTAGGATGCCACATGCTGCCCGGTTGAGAGGGGAATATAGGACCCAAGCTTGGCCTATCAGACACTCTTTCTCGAAAACCCTGGAGGCTGGGCCGAGCCGGTGGCGCACTTGGGAGAGTGCGGCGCTGGGAGCGCAGCAGCTCCCGCCACGGGTTCGGATCCTATATAGGGATGACCGGTGCATTCACAGCGCTCACTGGCTGAGCGCAGTGCGGCAGTCTCAAAAAGGACAAAACAATAAAAAAAAACCCTGGAGGCTGGGCCGAGCCGGTGGCGCACTTGGGAGAGTGCGGCGCTGGGAGCGCAGCAGCTCCCGCCACGGGTTCGGATCCTATATAGGGATGACCGGTGCATTCACAGCGCTCACTGGCTGAGCGCAGTGCGGCAGTCTCAAAAAGGACAAAACAAAAAAAAAAAACCCTGGAGGCTGATTCATCCTGATTGAGGGGCTCTGGAGACACTGCCTATTTAATCCTGCACCCAGATAGATCCCCTAAAGCTACCCTGGGTTCTGTTCTCTTTGTAGCTTAGGTGTAGGGATTCTCTTTCAGATATCATAATTGACAGCATTGCTGTCCAATAAATTTGTCTATCGCTTAAGTTAGCCAGAATGGGTTTATGTCTGTTGTTGGCAAATCCCTGGCACAGATGCTTGACTGGATCTCCTATGGTATCTGCACATATGGGCCTCTGTTGTGAATTTCACCACACACTTCAATCTTGACAATGAAATTAAGCTCTAACTGAGCATAGAAGTAGAATTTTCTTATTCTGATCAAAATAGCATATAGCTGACTTGTAAATAGAAATTTTTCCTAGTAAATAAGGATGCTTTTTTAAAATTGTGATAAAATACACCCAACATAAATTTACCATCTTAACCATTTTAAAGTGTATAGATCAGTATTGTTAATCACATTCACATTGTTGTGCAAGAGAAAGGGTTCTTAACCTCGGCACTATCGGCATTTTTGACTGAATAATTCTTTGTTGGGGGTTAGGGGGAGGGTGCTGTCCTGTGTATGCTTAGCAGTTATCTCTGGCCTCTACCCACCAGATGCTAGTAGAACATCCTCAGCTGTGGCAACCAAAAATGTCTTTAGACATTGCCAAATGTTCCCTAAGGGGAAAAATAGCCCCCGATTGAGAACCACTGAGCTAAAGAAAATAAATTCTCAATTCATTGCATTAAATTTAGTGTCCCTTTCACATTTTTTTCACCCAAGACACTACCATCCTTTAATCTTGTATCATCATATGGGAAAGGAAAACCAGTTAAATGAGCCATTTAAAAACCAGATTAAATGAGAGATTGCCTGTTTCTGAAACTTATTTGAGAAAAGGATTATCATATTGAAAGGGACCTTAGCCAGAAAAAACAACCATCTTTGGGTAACTAAGACCAAGCAGAACGTTTCAGTCTGCCCTTAACTTGGGAGCTGATAATCATCAATTCCTTGAGGTTAGCAGACGAACTGAGAGACTGCCCAGAGATGAAATAACTCCCTCTCACGTTGATTTACTTCAGAGGTTGTGCACCTACAGTTAAGGACTGAAACTAAGTTTCTTGTTTTTCTTACCTCTCTATTCTGCTGCAAGCAAGAGAAAAAAGAGAGAGGCAAGACAACCTAGCCGGTTGTAAACTCCCCCTCTTACTTAAAGGAAAACTGCATCCACATTAATTAGAAATCCAAGTCAGGTATTTTCATGATGTTTGACTGAGGTTATTATCCTGAGTTCTCCCTAGGAGATAAGGACTCCACCCTGAGGTAACATCAAGGACTTGAAGCTGAGCACAGACTCTGTGATGCTGAAGTTCCCAATCCATCATGGGACCCTACATCTGACTCAGACTATCTGCTGCTCCCAGACACCCCTTTTTTCTTCAGAACAAAGACCCTTATCTCATCTTCCTGCCTCTTCCCCTTTATAAACCCCAGAAGAGGCATCAGAAGGTGGGATGATTTTAGCCTGGTCATCCCCCAGATGTCAGTTATCTGAATAAACCTTCTAATCCTTGCACCAACTTCTGGACTTTCGAGTCATTTGTTTAATGCAAGAGGGCAACCAGAGCCTAGTCTGTTGGTAACAATATTTTGAGGAATAAAACTACCTGTATGCCAAAGCCAAGATATTATATATGGATAAAAGTTCACACAATCTGTCTGTATTTTGTAAATTACTTTTGCTGTTATTTTTCTAATTGTAAAGTCAATAAACTCCAGTTTAAGAAAGAGATTTGAGCACATAAATTTGTCTTCCTTTCCTTCAGAGATTCCATGTAAGTGGTGGTGAGGAAATAAAACAGAATAGAAGGAGGACTGAAGTGGACAAGAGATTTCAGTAAATTTTTGGAAGACCTAATACAGCCAATAGATATGGCATATGTAAAGCTGGGGCTCTGTCCTCTGCCCGTAATCCTGCTGACTGCACCAATTGTGGCACTACTGCTAATGTCAGCATCCTGCCAACTACACCGATTGTATGGTGCTCAGGCTCTTGTTGTAATCCTGCTCATGACACCAATTGTCTAGCTATACGACCACACTAGTTGTTGGGCTCTTTTACCTACCAGTAATCCTGTACCAGCTGGGCCAATTGCCCAGCTAAGGCTGGGTCTGGAGCTCACAGACCCCTCAAGCTCATTCAGACTGGGTCACAAACCCTTCACACACCAGGTCCCCAGATCCCTCACATACCAGGCTGGGTCACCAGACCCCTCACATACAGGTCTATGAGCTAGGTAACTGGCCAAAGGTCCTTGGAGCCATAGGCTGGAAAGCATGGGCAGACACCCGAGGCAGACACCTGCCTGCCTGCTCCACTAAAACTCTTCTCTACCTCTCTACCTCTCTCCCTCTCTCTCTCTCTCTCTCTGAAGCGCTCTCTCTCTCTCTCTCAAGAAAACAAGGATAGCAACAAAATTAAAAAGATACATTGGTGCACATGCGCACTAACTCCCCACACACACACACACACACACAATTTGCTTACAAAGGATGTGCTAAAGCCATACCTGAGGCAAGGGTCCTAACCAAACCATTCTATTTTCCCAACAGCATATGTGCCACAATCTCAGATATGCAAGGAGGTCTGAAGTTAAAATTGGAAAAAAATTGCCCAACTCCAGAGAGGCTTTGAAATCCCAGTTGGAAGGTTTAATGAAGACAAGGTGAAAAATGAAATCAATGGATTGACTGTATATGTGTATATTTATACAAGACA